CCTATTGTTGGCGAAACATTAGGATGTATAACACAGGCTCTGTGCAACAAAAAGCATTCTTTTGATTCATTTATTCTAGTATTAACATAGATTAGCTTACATTTATATGCACATTGTACAACAGTTTTCATAGCCCTATATCTCTGACCCTATTGTTGGCGAAACATTAGGATGTATAACACAGGCTCTGTGCAACAAAAAGCATTCTTTTGATTCATTTATTCTAGTATTAACATAGATTAGCTTACATTTATATGCACATTGTACAACAGTTTTCATAGCCCTATATCTCTGACCCTATTGTTGGCGAAACATTAGGATGTATAACACAGGCTCTGTGCAACAAAAAGCATTCTTTTGATTCATTTATTCTAGTATTAACATAGATTAGCTTACATTTATATGCACATTGTACAACAGTTTTCATAGCCCTATATCTCTGACCCTATTGTTGGCGAAACATTAGGATGTATAACACAGGCTCTGTGCAACAAAAAGCATTCTTTTGATTCATTTATTCTAGTATTAACATAGATTAGCTTACATTTATATGCACATTGTACAACAGTTTTCATAGCCCTATATCTCTGACCCTATTGTTGGCGAAACATTAGGATGTATAACACAGGCTCTGTGCAACAAAAAGCATTCTTTTGATTCATTTATTCTAGTATTAACATAGATTAGCTTACATTTATATGCACGTCATTGTACAACAGTTTTTCGATTATACATCTTACTTAATTATTTGTCGTCGCATGCCATCGTTATATAATTCTTCATTAATTAATTAATTAATTTTAAAAAAAATGGGGAACTTGTTTATACTTGTTTGTTGGATTTATTTTAATTTTGAACATTATACATGCATGTAGCCCAAGTATGCATTTGTTTTGTATTAAATTTAACAAAAAAATCAATAACATATTGGCCTAGTTTAGTGTCATACGAAACAAATAATGACTGCCAGTGTTCATTCGTGCAATGGTAAAATTGTTTTCATTTGGTAAAAGATGGAACTTCTCATTCCACGAAGCACAGCTGAGCTTTTGAATAGTATTTTTTAACAGCTTTATTAAAAAATGACTGACTTTACAATGAACACACGGGTAACAACGCCAACGAATAGTTCCAAACTGGAAAGTAGCGAACGGGTCGTAAGAACCCATGCGAGGCTATTTAACTTTCGGCTAGCTCTATGGCTTCAATTAATTCGATGGCCTATTTTCCCTAGTATGCACTATGGCATACATCGCCCACATGACAATGTCCAGTAAAATATACATTACATTACCTAAACATCTTTAAACTATTCTATACTACATATAATGAATAGCTACATTTCTAAGAATATAGAGTGCTCGATTATATCAGTTCGAGAATTGTCAGAATTGTGCCTTCCAATTTGAAGAAATGTTACTATATCTTTGGTTTTATACCAAAACAATGCAATATTGTAATGTTTCATCCTGGTGAATTTCGTAGTTGAAGATATATCTGGGCAATTTATATTTTATGCATGAGTATTTAGATTTGTGTTGATCTATATTTTCCAACCCTGAGTATAAGTGATATAAACAATTACCTGGTAGTCAAACTACTCGCTCTACCTCAAATTAAACAGCACTGGCATTTAAATTAAATGCTGACTGATCGTCAACACCCTTCGTATCTTGTGGATGAGCACTGGTGAGTAGAGGCTGATAAGAATTTTCAGGTTCTTTGTTGTCTGTCAAAGATATGTACGCGGAAGGTTCCTTTTCTGTAGAAATCTCACGTTTAGATTCAGCCTCATTTTGTTCAATACATTCGACAACATCGTCAGGAGCTTCATATACGGTATCGTCATTCACGTACGAAACTCTCTTGGCAGTCAGTTCGATGACCTCCATCAATTTCTTGCTATTTGGAGGTTCTGGATTGGAATCTACAAGATTTACACATTGCAGGTGAACGTTTAGTGTTACTAGCTAGTAAAAATGTACAACGATTTATATTTTCTTATTTACCAATATTATTGAAACATGGGTAAAAAAACTCAGTGTTTGAAGTGTTTGACTCTGCCAAACACCTTGGATTTTTTCGCATATAACTGATCCATGCAATAAGGGAGACTATACTGCACTTCCAGGGAAAACAGTTTCGAATTTATACAGGTATCTGGGTATCTATAGGTATAGTTTAGGTTTCCTCTTGCATTAACACAGGATCAATATATACAGGATGCTTCTTACCGGGCCACTATATGGAGAACAGTTGCGAACTGCTAGGAATATCCAATAAAAACATGCTGTGAAGTGAATTTGGTTACCTAATTGTAAAAGATTACATACGCACCGAATGCCCCTGTTTGGTCAGCTTGTCTTGATGTCTGGAGTCTATGACTCTCCTTTCTATTGTTATTCTGAAGGCGACGACGTTGGTATATGATCACAGCAAGTGACAGGAGCAAACATAAGGCCAAAATAACCAGCGGTATTATGAGATCCAGACGAGTGCTGTTGTTGCCAGATGATTGTTCTGAAAAATCACTTATAGCTAGCTTTGCACAAAGATAAGTAGAATTAGTTTGGTTTGTGACAAAGACCATTTTTTCATTTAATTCTAAAGGTTTTTAATTGATCCTGAAGTGTTGATCAAGATTTCGACTTAAATATGGGATGAAAGCTCTGCTAAATACACAAGTAAATATAATTATTTCTACGCATATCCAAATGAATATATAATATGTTGAAAGGTTTTTTTAGATTGTAATGTACTAACTCCTGAGGTGAAATAACTAACTTAGAAAAAGTTGTGATTGGACTGAAGATCAAGAAGAAACAATATAACATATTCGTGAACAACATAGGGACTGTCATGCTACATAACCTGGCATGGTAAAACATGCACACTTGGAAACGAGGCCATTGGAAAATAGTAAAGTCTGTCCAGGGCTCATTGCATGGAAAGGGGATGTTTATTTCATAAGGCGACTTCAATAAAGGGCTTACGGTACATATTAGAATGTTAGGGTTTGTAATCAAGTGATTATATACATTTTAAGACCGGTGTCCCAGGATTTTCGCCCCCCCCCCTACATTTTCGCCCCCCGGGGGGCGAAATTCCTAGGAATATCGCCCCCCCCAGGGGGTCGAAAATCCTAGGAATTTCGCCCTCCTTTAGGAAATTCGCCCCCCTTTAGAAAGTTCACCTTTTCTTTAGGATTTTCGCCCTCCGTTCAAAATTTCGCCCTTCCTAACAGTTGCATGGGATAATTATTACATGGCTTTAATCATTTGAAATCAGTATCAATTCAAAATTGTTAAGACAGAGCTTGAAATAACAACCGATCACCGATCAATGATCAGCAAGGAATTGCTTATGATCGGCGGTAACCTGAGTATCAGGCCGTACTTCGGAAAAGCAGGGTTTCGGTTTCCAACCTGAAAAAAGCAGGGAAAGTCACGACTGCTGATCACCATGATCGGGAATTTTAGGAACGTTATTTCAAGCCCTGCATGTAAGAATACAAATTTACAATTACATGTATCGAAAGGGCTTTACACAGTTACGGTAGATCAATACTCAATAGGACTTATGACGCTTCACAGCACACCATGCATATTTTGCATTTTCATGTTATACCATAACCGGTACATACATGTTATACCAAACCTATCTGTTACGTTACCTGCTGTATTGGTCGTAAAAGATTCAGAAACTTTTTCGCTCTTCTGCGAATAACCATCTTCAGTCTGAATTTCAACTCTATATTGAGTATTCGGTTTAAATCTTTTTATAACGATATAAGTTCTTTGTCTAATTTGAGATATAGTCTGGTATTCTGCACCGTCGAGATATATAATGATCTTTGTTATATAACTGGAGTCTTCGGGTGCTGTATGTATTCTCCACGTCACAAGTGCTGCATATTGGTATGGTGTAATCCTAATATTGTTTACAGGAGCTGGAGTTTGAACTATAGATATGAAAAGATCGCGAATTTTAGTAAGAAATTAAACATGCTAGTGATGTAGCTTGATTATGACACATTTTCGAAAATTAGGAGTCATCTAAAACCTCGTCTGGAACTTCTGTCTGATATGAATAAAGGACGAAAACCATCTGACGAAGTAAACGTTATAAAAATTCCCGAAATCCTCAATCCCAATCTCCTTTGGACGTTAACAGCTGAAACGGTACCCGGTCTTGATCTATTCGTACAATACAAATTGAAGACGAGTTTAAAACAGGAAACTCGTCTAACTTTCATATCGTTTGGGCGAGAAATTTACAAGGTAAAGTTATGCAGAAAGTCTGGCATTTACTGTAACTTAAATTTCTTGTTTTAGAAAAGTTTCCCATCTTAGAAAATTCGTCTTCTAATAATGGATTCTGCTAATCTTCGAATAGAATATTGTGATCAACTTTCATATTTACTTCATGTTTTCACCCAGTCCTTGAAAAAACATTTTTCAAAACTATTTACGATCCTGATTTACCCTTGATGACTTGTGTTCCTTCACATCAAGATTACGAAAATGAGGCAGAAAATTTCCCACAGATCAATAAGATGTCGCCATTTCCAAATTGTCGATTTCACAACTTTAGAAATGTGGTCGTATTCTTGAATGTTTTGACACAAAAACATGAAACGTTTTTTGGACCGTGATTTTGGTATATAAAGTGCCAATTACTACTTGACACTGTAGTTATAAAAGGTTTGTTCACTACCAGTAATTTCTGCAGATGTCTAACTTGCGAAAATCCTGTTTACACATGCAACCAGTAACAGAAAACATAGCTCACCTTCTCCACAAAGTTCGATTCTAAGACAAAATATCGTGTTTTCAGTTGATTCTATCTTCACATGCCTCACATTGTAAATATCAACGTCCGTAGCCGATGCTTGGTAACCGTTCTGATTTCCTTTAATCTGAAAGATAATTTGTGTTTAATATATAGACATGGCCACAATAAGAATTTTTTTAAATGTGTTTATTACACTAACAAACGACGTTTCGGAGATTTACTCCATCTTCAGGTAGTTAGGATTACAATTGCATTCCTATAACTGAAGATAGAGTAAATCTCCGAAATGTCGTTTGTTAATGTAATAAACACATTTAAAAAAAATCTTACTGTGGCCTATATATTGAACAAAAATTATACTAAGTTCTTTGAATGTTTGCATGGCGATAAAATATAATTGTTTTTGTTTTGTAGAAACACCACGTAAATTTATTACTGCAAAGCTTTCGATCCGTAAGCCCGGATCTTCATCAGTGCTAATAATATGGCTTTGCAAGCTTTGCAGTAATAAATTTACGTGGTGTTTCCACAAACAAAAACAAAAATTATACTATTAACATGAGGCTTAGGGAAAGTTCGTTCCTAAACATTTTGAAGAATCTGAAAGATAGTAAGAATTCAAAGATAAATTTTAAATCCCTGAGTTGTACTGCATGAGGCCAGGGTCAAACGTCGAACTTTTCATGTGCCGAACCTAATGCAAATGAAGTGAAACAAAGAACTTACCTCATTAACATTAGGTTCGGCGCATGAAAGTTCGACGTTTGACCCTGGTCTGAGTCTGCTTTGTCTTCACCATTGTAATTATTTGTAGTTCATCGTTGTAGTTACCTCCGGTAGGCAAGTAAATGCGTTTTAATAATATACTGTAAATGTTTTGCCATGCCAAGCAAAGCTCTTAGATTGAAGTTTCACACGGGCCGGATGCCAGATTCGGAACCTTACCCAAATTCGTTAGGTTTCGCCTTGCGCTCACGTGGGACGCATGAAACCGGACGAATTCCAACACAGCTAACCGTACGAATTCGAGACCCAATAAAAGTGGATCTCGTTTTGTACCCAAATGGCTCCTAAATTAGACGTAACCATGTGAACAGGTCTTTTTTTGCGCACGTGCGATTGGGATTGAGACTGAGACGAGACCATTTGCACACGGGAACGTAAATACTTTCGGGACTACAGTTAATGCTGTTCCGTGTAAACATGTATAGATAATTAAGAATCGTATACGACTGTAGTCGCGTACGCTTATTGTGTAGATGGGCCTTAACAGATCTATTAATTGACTTGGGCATTCACGTTAGTTGTTGGACTATCTTACCTCATAAGTAATACGGCCAAATGAATAAACGCTCTCCCTCAACTAACCCCTTTCCTGTCACTAAGCTTCCCGTCCAACGTCCCTTGGGACTTAATACAGGATTTACGGGGGTTTTTTAAGACTTATGTTAGGCGCTTATCGCAAAATACTTTTTTATAATCATAAATACCTGTTCGCAATTTTTATAAGTTGTGTCATGACTGTATTTCAATGAATATGACCTACTCCACATTGTTTGATCTCTATCACCCATAACAACAACCCGTGTTATGTGATATTCTTTGTGAAGATCGATCAAAAGATATGAGTCAGATCTCCAAGGACACCAGCCACCTCCAGTAATCCTTGCATATTTGTATTTACGATACAAATCACCACTGCCAGAAAATACGGAGTCTGGAAAAGTTCTTTTGTCATTGAGTAACGGTTTGTCGCATATCTTGCCTACAGTTAAAATAGAGAAGGTAAATTTATTGCAATTTAATGAAATCGTAAATTTGTGACGAGAGAGAAATCCATCATGCAGCATGTGTCTTTCTATTTTTAGATGTATATTTGACTGTACAATATATGTTTGCAGCGCTATAAATATAATTTAATTTATCAGTATGGCGTGTCATTTCTCATTAATACTAATTCTCAAACCGTAATTTCATGACTTATTACATTATCACACAGAAACAGATTTTCAAATGGAATGGTATTGAAGAAACACTCTCAAAACGTGTAATTTAGCGGCTATTGATTTTGTAACTTACTGAACAACAAGAAACCAAATTACGTATATTTTAAGAAGATATTGCATGAGAACGTTATATACAAATATATACAAATTATTTATTGCTAAAACAGTTATACAGTAGTTAGGATCAGTGGCGGAAATCTCGGTGGTGCGGGGGGGGGCGACCGCCCCCCCCCCCAACTTTACGGAAAATTGCCGAATTTTCGGAAATGTTACCCTAAAACAGGGCTAAAAACAGTCTTTTTGAGTGCAAATGGGGTTGTTGGAAATTTGAAGGTTCTGTCGGAAATTTAGGAGGCTTTGCCCCCCTTCCCCCTCCCCCCCGGAAAAAGTGAATTTCTGCCACTGGTTAGGATACATGACCACATCAGCATTTTGCTGCAGTATGCTATATATAATTAATACACAACTCCACCCATGAATGAATGAACGAATGACCGAAGAACGAATGAATGAATGAATGAATGAATGAGCTAGTGAGTGAACACGGACATAATAAAATTGGATATCAGGTAAATTGGATATCAACCATAGTTATAATTTGAGCTAATTTTATATGACTCATATACTCACATTTCGTACTTGGCACACCAACGGTTGAAGGCCATTTAAAAAAAACAAGATGGATACAACAAGACGTTCCACCTGACTGTGTGGTATAGCATATCAAGTCCCCAGTTGCAAACTCATGCCCTCTTCCAAACCAATAAATGTTAATAACGTTCGCGTCCGTTTCTTTAAATCCCAAGTGCCGACACAGCGTTTTCTGACGATTTTTATCCCATTGTTCTTCAATAACGTATCTCCAAGTTGAACCATACTTTATTTGGATGTAACCACTGTATGGTGAACTCTCTAATCGTATGTTAGGTGCTGAAACAGAAATGTTGAATGAAACAGCAGATTTTACACTTCACGCCATTCAACCATCATGCACGGTTCGCAATATTTGGGTGGTATAAAACCTCGCTACAATACATAGTAACAACAAGCGAAGATGAGATTTAGTGAAGTAAATGGTAGCTACTTATAAACAATAGATTCACTATTTTCGTTCAGTTGCTTGTTACTTCTTATCTACCGTCTCCGCACAACCGATATATGCCACCCAAATTCGTAAAATCGTTAACAATTGGCAATATTTTCTAAACAAAATATTACAAACATATATTCCAGTGGGTTTGTTTGGCTGCCATCACATATATAACTTCGACGTCCCCCAGGTTTAAAATGTTTTATTGTAATACTACTATGCATGCATGCATTTGAAATTGCAAGAAAGCTATAGGTTCTTTAGTTCTTACACAAGACACTTTTAAACCAGTCCGACATGTTGATCGAACATTGTTTGATGCAACATTCTTAGACCTAAAAATATTGAACGATGGAAATTTTAAATGAAGCTATAAATCTGACACAACATCTGCCAAACAGTTATCAAACGGACTCAACAATGTTGCACAAACAATGTTGGAACTACGTCTTGTGATGGTTTCAACAGGTCTTTATGTTTATGTATGGCAAAACTAGTTCTAAAAAGAGAAATTGAACACAGTATTGTGTTCTAAAAGTCACCACCTCCTCTGCAAATTTCTTTCATTTTCACAGTTGGGACTGGGGTGCGATCAAAAATGGATGGAGAATGGAATTTAGAGAAAAATTTGAGCTAGAAAATGGGATCTGGATTCCCCCTCAAGACCCTCTTATCATTGTTTGTCTATATGCTAAAAGTTTCAACCAACACTATCCTGCATTGATGGATCGACAATGCCAGTGGATTGACAATGTTAGACGATGTTAAGTTGGACTCAGGATTCAACGGCCTTTTTATTATTTTCTATTCTATTTATTAACTTTTGCATATCAAATGAGCTTTCGCGCGTTTGTGATTGGCTAGTTGACTCTACGAAACCATAGTCAATGGGATGAAGATCTACTTAAAATGATCATGTTTTGTGATTGGCTTTCAGAAACAAATCAGAAACAAAAATGATCATTGTTTGTCACTCGTTCTTTAGAAAGACGATTTCTATAGTTTTATTGTCTTTTATTGTTATAATCAACCAACCATGAGCCTGGATAGTATAAGCATGACCCTAGTCAATGTCTTTCAGTTATATCTGACTGAAGTACTGATTTCTGGAGTGTTGGTTCTCCTTCGTTTGACGCACAAGACTTAACTCTGAGGAGGGTGATCTCTCTACGAAGCCATGCATGCATGCATGCAGGTCAATGTCGCACAGCTATTGACTGACTGAGTACCAATTTCTGAAGTGATGGTTCTGCTCTCTCTCTCCCTCTCCGACTCACACCCAAACATATTCACGGACAATTAAAAACTTATTTAAAACTTCTATATATATAAACATTCACTTCAAACAAATAGCAAAAACAATCTCGACTGTTGGGAAAAACCTTGCCGTGATATTCTGTTAAAACCATTTTGTTTTGTATCCTATAGATATCTCAGTTTGTACGATACTTTTTGTTTTGATGCGTCATGTTTTCATTGTGCTGTATGGTGTCCTGACGCTATATATTGTGTTTTAGAAACTTGTAAAAGACTATTAACTTAAGAAAAAGTGTATTAAAGCTTTATTTCGAGGCATTCGAGCCGAATAGTTTTACATTCCGTTTTTCCAATGTTCTCAGTCATTTAATTTCCGGAACAAATTAATGCTAAACAGAAACTATTTTTTGAAAGTCTGGTGAAAAAGTCATTCCATGCATCATTAATCATTATGTTTATATTTTAAGCAGAAATCGAGAAAAACAACTTTGCATTAAAGGCCCTGTTACACGGTGCAATTTTTCATGCAACTTGTCTCGCAATGGCGTTGCGAGACAAGTTGCACGAGTCATTGCACCGTTTAACATGCCTTGCAATGGTCAAAATCGTTGCGAGACAAGTTGCATGAAGCATTGCAGAGAGTAGAAGTCGGTTCTACTTTTGGCAACGATTGCACTAATTATTTTAAGCGTTGTAGCGTGTAACATGGCTTCGTGCAACTTGTCTCGCAATGTTTATAGCTTGGAGAGTTCCTGTTGGCTCTCCCCAGTACACACTTTATTTTAATTAAAATTTGGCGCCAAATAGCGCCTCTTCCTAGTCTCTTCGCATGCCTTTGTCCCGTATCGTTGCGAGTTGCATGAAAATCATTGCAGCGTGTAACACCTCTTGCAATGCATTATCAAAATCTTTTTATAAACATTGCGAGACAAGTTGCATGAAAAATTGCACCGTGTAACAGGGCCTTAAAGCAATAGTGTGCATGCATGCATGTGTGTGCAAAAGTGTCAGCATGTGTTGTGTGTACAAGAAACACTGCAACACTATATTTAAAAACAGAAACTGTGAACCGACCGAAAACAGTTATATTTCTGAATTCAATTAAACTGATATTTGTAATTTGGATATTTTGTTTCAGTTCATTAACAATTTATACCAAAACAATTATTCACCATATAATTGTGACTACGTACTACAAGACTGTTCAAAGACGTGCTGTATATTGTATTTTATTAAATAAAATTATATACGGTAGAGGATTTTTTACTAATCTAGAATGCTTCCTGACCGCTTCAACTATTTAAATCAATTTCAGAATATCCATGCACATTACCTGCAGTTATAATGGTTGAGCTATTGCTGTCAACACAAGTGTACTCGGCGTAAATTTCTTTTGAAGTATCAGAACAATACGGTGATGGTAGTAAATTATTGTCCATGGTCAGTTCACAAGATCTCTTTCCACCACAACGAGATTTTACCTGACAATTAGCTAACTTGCTGCATGTTTTGTCAAAATTTTTATCGTCATTAAAGGCACCACTCTCATTAAAATCTCCATAATCAGCTCTCGTGACCATCATATATTGTTTGGGAGAACAATGAACATCTTTCATTTTGGTGCCGTACTGTGTTACTGATCCTAAAAATGAGAGTATAGGCAATCACAGGGGCGTATGAACCGGGGGGGGGGGCAAGGGGGCCAAGCCCCCCCCCCCAAGTTTTCAGAAGACACAAAAAGTGCCCTTTTTTAGGTGGCAAAGTGCCCTTTGCCTTTGTGAAAAATGTTGTTCAGATTGCATTTTTAACTCACGGATGTTGCAAAGCAATATCTGTGAGTCTTTGTGGTAACGTGAGTGTGGGGCAGTTAAACAATGAGAAATGACCAGCCTGCTGCCAGCGCACTCTTTGGCTGCGAATCGAGCCTTTCAGAACCAGAAATCGGGCTGGAACAGGACAAATGGCAAAATTTGCACGGTGTTCGTTTGCAAAAACAACTGCAAACTTCTTTAATTCTTTCTGTCACTCTCCTTTGATCTGATCCGCGAGTCGGCCTCAACGGGCCTTTGATTTATGATTGCATTTATTTTTCCTTCCCTATCCCCCCCCCCCGTCGCCAACATTTCCGGGAAAATCTTTTTAGGTGCCCTTTTCATTCCAAAAGTGCCCCTCGAAACCGGTGCCCCCCCTAATTTTTTTATGCTTCCTACGACCCTGGGCAATCACGCGGACCTTGGCTGGCTGTTATTAATTATTGCTTTCTCGACATTATATCATGTATTTTATAACATAGTTGGAACACGTATCAAAGCTTTATTTTGTTGCAGAGCTCCGGATCCGGAATGTCTCCTGTAAAAAATACTGCATGCTCAAATCTGAGACAACCAATTCAAACTGGTTATTTTAACACCTCTGTTTTTACAGTGTACAGTACACTGACTGAGCTATAGCCTATAAATATATACTACAATTCTTTTTGAAACCATTGTAACACCGGATTTGGTACACAGATGCTGTTTTCCTCTCTAAAGGGAGTATAAGGCTGGCTGCATTTATGCGGAATAAGCCCGGCAATAAGAAACATTTGCTGATGCTTGTCCGTGGTAAATCTGTCAAAACGTTTTCTCATGCATGTACATGGATGTAGTTTATAGTAAAACTTTATTTTACAAGGGAAACGTATGTAACCATGTATACTATATATAGTCTAGGTATATCTAACATACAATCCTCACAAAAATTATACAGTATTTACAAACGTAAAAAGGTAAGATTGAAATTATATGAAAGATGAAAACAAAGTTACCTAGTGATGAAACATTTATTATTTAGTAAATATTTACTATTTTACAAAAATAGCCGGTCTTCGAGATGGTGTTATAGCTATGGTAAGGTTAAGCGAAGCTTGTATTTGAAAATTGAAGTAGCTACTGAATATTCACTTACCAAAAGAAAACTTTTGATCTGTCACGTCACGACATCCATCTTTTTTCAGATCAACGTGACTGTCATTAGGCTGAGCACAAGAGTTCACTGAACTGTTGTAAAAAAATAAAGATCCAGCATCCGTTTGTTTTAAACGATGAACACTACTCTTTTGGAAATTTCTTCCTTTCGGATTTTTGCCGTTATGAATGAATAAACGATTTTGCAATTTCGGTTTTTTAAGGTTAGACGCTAACGTCCCTCCAGTCTTGATATTTTGTAACAGTTCTGTATCGAGATAACGCCTGAACTGTGCACTGACATTCAAGCAGTTATTAACCATTTCAGCCCAGTATCTTCTGGAATTATTACTATCCGAAATCTGAATTCCTGCTGCAATACACTTTCGAGACTGAGAATGCCTGAGGAAAAGACTCTGACAACCTGCAAACAGAAAATAAGAACTCAACAACCTATCGTGCACATATACAAAATTCTCCTGATTGCATAATCTTTCCTCGATTTTCTAGTTAAAATAATTTCTTTTTGAAACATTGCTTCAAAACACGACTGTTTAATTAAATATATTTGCATTCAGTTCGCAAGCTATATTAAACGGCATTCGCGTCCTCGCTGCATCATGTATATATATATATATATATATATATATATATATATATATATATATATATATATATATATATATATATATATATATATATATATATATATATATCGCGTCGAATGCAGCAATTCAAACAATACATAATGAAGCTTAAATTAATGAGGCGTAATTATATATATATATATATATATATATAATGAAGCTTAATGATATATATATATATATATATATATATACATATATATATATATATATATATATATATATATATATATATATATATATATATATATATATATATATATATATATATATATATATATATATATACTTGTACTATATAGCAACACTTTCGAACAAACCAACGGCCAAAAAAACTCATTCAAATAGATGTATATGATCTTAATCTACTGAAGAAAACCTGACGTCTATTATTGTAATTGGGTAAATACAATACCTTTTAACCTCTATTTCAACATTGTGTTTGCTAATGCTATAAAGTACCTACCTTTAAAGACAACTAATAATGTTAAACCATATAAGAGCAACCAGCGATGAACTAGGCACGACATTCTGCTGCTGATTGTGGAAACTGACGGGAAAGCGAAAGGCTATAGCTTATTAAACCATGCTGAGTCCCTTGCCTTTGTATAGTTCCGCATTTTAATTCCTGAGAAAACACGAAAAGAATCAATATATCAAGAGCAATGTTTACCACCAAAATAGAACATGGAAATTGGATTCATTTCTATATACAGGGTGTATCATAAAAAACGGAGTCCATCTTTTGTACTTAATAACTATCGGCCGGCTATATTTAATAAAACGGTTTTAGGCTTATTTTAAGGCCTGCTCATTTATCTTTCGAACAAATGGTCATCCGTGTCTTTAGTGCAAGTAATAACTGCACAGGAGAAAATCTAGTAAAACCTATAATTTTTAGATGCCGCTTAATTATACAAATTTACTATGATATTCCATAGTCGGTTACAATGTTTGAATTTTCTTGTTCAAACTTTAATGTTCTTGTTGCCACATCAGAAAAACTAGTAAAAACTTGTTAAAAACATTCTAAAAGAGATTAGGTTGATTTATTTATTTCAAAATCCTAAATTATTTCCAGAAATCATCAAAACAATCTTATGTCCATGCATCGTCCGAACTAACGCCATCGAATCGGGCGCAATGTAAACATAAATTAGCAAGTTGATGGCAAGCTAAAACACGCTTCAGCTGGGAATATAAACCCATTTGAAGTCAGCAAGTGAATTTAAAATAGTGTATTGGAAGCCTTTATTACTTAGTTTTTACAAGCTATTGCCAAAATGCCTCAATTTACACGTTTTGTTGACAAAATAAGTTATTTTCATCAAGTACCGATTTGTTATTGCATCTCAAATTTTTGACTCTCCAATCGCAATCACTTAAAATACTATTATTCACAAACTACTGGATTAAATTTACGAAACAACCCATCGTTGGAAAGCTGGATGTCTACGCTTTAAAACAAATGTAAACCTGAACGTTTTACTCTAATATTCGTTTCGAAATTTATATTTGAAGCGAGGACTCCGTTTTTTATGATACACCCTGTATACACAGTTCATTCTTTGTCGGTTTGTATGGCGAGCAATATAATTGAGTTTAATTAATTGTTCGGTGACAACACCACGTTTATTGCTTTCCAAAAAGCTTTCGATTTATATAGGCCAGGAAGTTCATCATGCGTGATTGTAATTACAAATATATAACTTTTGACGGAGAAGATCACGTTTGAACATTTGCCTTTGATTCAACTTTGAACATTTGCCTAAATGTGAAATGGTTCACATGCATCCAAAGTTCTCAGCAATCTTCCTGTTTCGTAAAATGTTTAGCAGCGAAATTTCGTTGATAAGTCACGAGTTGAACCATCTTTAAATTTGCCAAAACTTAATAAATAACCCTTAATAAATAACTGAGACAATACTGGTTTTGCACTCAATTCCTAATGGTGGAAAAATGCAATTTTGATCGGCCATTACAAATTGGGTCGTAGGCTATATGTTTGCCAATTTTTACGTCGAATTTTGGTCGCGTCGAATGCAATTAGACAATAGATGAGATGATAAGCCTCATTAAGCTTCATTATGTATTGTTTGAATTGCTGCATTCGACGCGACGGAAATTCGACGTATAAAACAGGCCTAAATCTGCATGTATATACGCAATATGCACAATAACATGGAAAACTGATTACCTTTTTCCATATACACCTTGCTGTATACAATATAATGCCTCAGAGCACTCTGATAATCTCAAACACTGTAGTGTAGGCCTAATATAAATATAGTTATTAGTGTTCTGTTTTAGTGAGTGTGGAATGTATAATAGTGATAATTATATAATTTGATACTGTTTAATTTAAAAATTCAATTCCTCTCTGTATAGCTACAATCTTGGACATAATTTGTTGAATTGTCGAGGCTGTCCCCCCACATGATAAGCGGTTAAGCCCCTGCTCCCCCCAACTCAATGTTGAGCTCAGTGACAGTGTGTCATGGTAAATTACCATTCGGGTGGAGGGGGTGACAAGGTTTGTTTTGTCAATGTGCATTTATAACTTTGCAATATTGGCTGGACAGTCTCAAGGGTTTTCTCCAAGATTGTAGAATGTTAGTGTAAGAATGGCATAGTCATTGAAGTGAGAAAGGTCAGTGACAGTGTCTAAAACTGTCTAAACTATAGTTAGAACTTTAATATAAATACAAGGCAAGGCTAAGTGACCATTGGAGTTCGAGTTACCTTTGATATAGGTTCGGGAGAACTCATGGTTTGCGGCAGTCAATTCCTTGATACTGTTAGACAAAGAATCAAGTTCAATATTGGAGTAACTTTAGTAAGTTTAGAAAAGAAAGCAAACCAACACTTCCTATAGCACGCTGTAAAAATATTTCGTTTTCCTGAAAAACTAGACCAACCTCGTACCTGGCCATGCAGCTGTATATTTCCGTATGAGACAGCACCATGGTAATTTATGCAGGGGCGTAGGAAGCATCAAAAGATTGGGGGGGGGGGCCACCGTCTTCTAGGGGCACTTTAGGGTATTGAAAAGGGCACCTAAAAAATTTTTCCCGGAAATGTTGGCGACGGGGGAGGGGAGAAAAAATTTTCACGTCGTACCATACCGAAATTACACGTTTTTGACCAAATTTTCTTAAAAACAAAAAGGGCACCTTTGATGTTAATTTAGTATTTACTGCGACATTAGTTTGTACAAAAAGGGCACTTTTCATCACGAAAAAGGGAAACTCAGGATTTTCCAAGCACTACAGGGTGTATAAAAAAAAACTGAACAGATTTGAAATTGCTCTCAACTTCGCAAAACAGCCATTAGCATCCAGTTTTTGATATATATAGTTTCTTTGGGTACTTATATAATGTAGAATAATAAAAAAATTTCTCGAACTCAAATTTTGTAAACCAGGGGGTGTGTTTTTTCCATCAAACTAAAAATGGCTTGCGCACGAAATTTAAAAGCTTTAATCGTACTTTGAGTTAACGGGCGGAAACTTTGTTGGGTTTTTAATTACTGTACAAAATTTCAGACAATTTGCTTTAGTTTAAGCCCTTCAACTATTCATTTTCCCCTAAAAAATCAGCCTTTCGCATGCTTAATTAAGGGGCCATTCACAAAGGATGTCCGGCCAAATGTTGGATTTTCAGACCCCCCCCTCCCCCCCTTATCCGGCATTGTCCGAATTAGTGACCCCCTCCCTCCCCCCGGACATCCGCCATACCTCGCAAAAACTCACGCAACCTTGTATATGTCAAGAGTAAAAAACTTTTTTTACTTTTAGAACTTTTTTATAACTATAAATGTGAATACAAAAACATATAAATTACTAATTAAAACAAAATCTAGTATTAACTGCATAGTCAAAATGCCAATTTCACAATGGGAAGGACTGCTCAAAATAAAGGGAAAAAGAAATTTGTTTTTGATTTTTTTTAAATTTCGGACATCCGGATTGCTAAAACCCCCCCTCCCCCCCCTATGTCCGAGTTTGTCCTGATTTTCCAAACCCCCCTCCTCCCCTCGGCTCGGACATCCTTTGTGAATGGCCCCTAATGCTTTTATCTAATTTGCATATTGCTGACATAAGCAAATTAGGCAAACGCATTAATTAAGCATGCAAAAAGCTGATTTTTTAGGGGAAAATGTAAGTTTGCGTGAATAGTTAAAGGACTTAAACTGAAATTTAGTACAGTAATTAACAACCCAACAAAGTTTCCATCCGTTAATTCAAAATACGATTGAAACTTTTAAATTTCGTGCGCAAGCCATTTTTAGTTTGTTGAAAAAGACACACCCCCCCTGGTTTACAAAATTTGAGTTCGAGAAATTTTTCTCATTCTACATTATAAGTACCCAAAGAAACTATATATATCAAAAACTGGATACTAATAGCTGTTTTGCTAAATCGAGAGCAATTTCAAATCTGTTCAGTTTTTTTTATACACACTGTATAGTAGAATGGCCGGAATAACATGTTCTGCACTTTTCTGATTACCTGAAATTTTGAGTTGACCCGGGCAGAACAGAACACAAGAAGTGATGTTATACTTTTAAAGTATTACACTAATACAGTAACAGATTGTAATGATTAGCAAAAGGCGACAATATATGTATGTCTATATGCATGCCCGTGTGTTTTTGCAAAATGTTAGTTGTTAATTATCATATGATATATATCATATCCATTTAAATGGTAGAACTATGTCTGCAATTGTTATAAAAAGCCCTTCGTAGTCTCAATGAACAAGCTAATTTATAATCTATATTTATAAAACAAAACAACTTACTTATTTCCTAAATTAAATTGTCCGCTAGCTGGAAATAGATTCTGGAGCCATATTTTCCCCGTGATATGTTAGATGTAACCTATAAGCTATTACTGGCTGTTAGTCAAACTACTTTTCTATCTTAATCACCACTGAAATTTGCACTAAATGCAGGATTTTCATATTCCACTGCCTGAACATTACTCCGCTTCGTATGATGTGGATGCACACTTCTGCCGGGGGGTTGTAGAGATTGATAAAAGTTCGCAGGTTCTCTATTGTCTTTCAAGGACATGTAGGCTAAGGATTCTTGTCCTGTAGAAATTTCTGGTTTAGATTCAGCCTCATTTCGTTCAATACATTGTATAACATCGTCAGGAGTTTCATATACGGCGGCGTCATTCATGTACGAATTCAGTCTCGGAGCTGCTTTGTTGCTTCTTGGAAGGTCTGGAAGGGATCCACAATAACGTGAAGTACGATTTTTACAAAGATGTAAAACGATTCATATTAATTACATCCCCCACTCCCGTACATTTAAACATTTAAATGGATAGCCTATAGGTGGCCGTAGCGAAGAGGCTAAATCAGGGGGGGGGGGTGTAGTATCGCATTTGAAGACAACATTTCAGCTAATTAATCTTTCTTTCCCGAAATTGTTGGCGAGCGGGGGGGGAGGGGGGAAGGGGGGAAGTTGGAAAAAATTTTCCGGACATACCATTTTTCACAAACTTTTCCAAATGTACCGTAATTTCTTAAATCAGTTTTCGAAAATATTTTCATAAATTTATCAAAATTTTGGCTATAACTATTATCTTTTAATCCAAGCCAGTCAAATATTCAGTTCGCTGACTACGAAAACGATTTGCCGTTATTTTTCCAACAAGACGTTTTCAGGGGGTGCCCCCCTCCTTCTGTAGCTACGGCCCTGCAGGTGGCGATGACTAAAAACAGCAGAGTTTTCTGCATGGGAAATATATGTATATATATATATATATATATATATATATATATATATATATATATATATATATATATATATATATATATATATATATATATATATATTTAAAAAACTCATTAGTAATTCAGGAGCAAAACACAAAGAAAAATCATAAGCGTGTCGTGGTTATATATGTGATATAAAATCATGTTAATTTACATAAACTTGAGCTTTGATTTTCTCGGTTTAGACAAAGTTTATTTTAAAAATTACTTCACCAATGAACTCGTATAAGCTGAGTCGAGTCGTGTTTTATATGTGATAAAACACTCCTACGCGTGCTTTAAATAGTACATATAACTCAACTATATTCTTTGCTTCCACATGACGTCACTACGTGTCATTAGGCGCCATCTTGGTTGATTTTAAAGTTTTGTCCAGCCGTTTACATCGAAATAGTTGAGTTACTTTAATATTTTTGTTTCGTTTTGAAAACATCTTACTGTATTAGGGATAGTTTACGATTTCTGGCACAATACGACAAAGAATGAAGAATATAGATTTTTAGTTGCCACGAAAATCAACCAAGATGGCGTCGATTGCAAACGAGCAATACTAGTTTAAGGTTGCTCTTCACGATAACGTATGTATTCTTCGATAATCTTAAAGACATGAACGATTGATTTGGCGAGAATTCCGTCACGGCCAGATTATTAATTAGACTATTAGAATTAGAATTAGAAATAAACTTTAGTTTAAGTCATGAAAGATTAACAAACATAGGCCTACTTTACCTTTTCGGTTTTCTTGATCTTGTCTATTTTTATTTTGAACAAGACGACGTTGGTATATGATGACACCGAGTGAGAGCAGAAAACACAGAGCCAAAATAGCCAGTGGAATTATGAGATCCATACGGGTTTTCTCCTCATTGGGTTGTCCTGAATTTTTACTATTATCCACTAAAAATACAAATTTTGGAATTTTTCTGACTGGATATTAACCAGTTGGCAATGCATGTATATCCTTAAATGTTTTATATATTGTGACCAATAATTAACCATGTATATATATAATGAAAAAATATTCAATTAAGTGTAATTAGAGATGATTTACCTGGAGCTTTTATCAATGTTCTAACATTGTTACTCCATGCTGTCGAGTAATACGAGCCCTAGACAAAAATGATAATTGTCATGGTGTTTTATTTTCTCAGAATAACTCCACCTTCACTTCTCTTACTAATATTTACCTGACTTTCAAAAAATCTCAGAAACACGATATAACTTGAGCTCAGTTTTAAAGGTTGGTTAAAGTAATTTTCTTTTCCAGAATTATACTCTTTGCCATCACCGACCACAAACGTCAAAGGTAGAACATCAGCTTTCAAATAAGCAGTGATATAGGGATCATTCATGTTTTCCCGGTAAGGTTTGAGATCGCTTGTTTTGAGGTTTTCGCTTGGTGTCGAACTGCTTTTGGCATTTTGAACGATGACCATCACTTCTCTATATAAATCATTAAATATCATGTCATAGAAAGAAAATATTATTAATACAATAGTAGTACAAAATAAGGGTTTAAGAGTGCGAGATAATTTAAAAACGAGAAAGGTTTAGGTAACGTTAAACGATGATGATGATCACAATGATGATGATGATGATTTGTATGATGATGACGATGATACTATTTCATTGCATCATAGTTATTTAGTTCATTAATTAAAAAAATGTATAAAATATCATTTTAATGTAATTATAACTGAGGAGGGACACCTTGCAAGGGTCCAAATGTCCTGTTCGTAGCTTGTCCTTTTTAGTTACTTCACAATAAATTAAACGTATTTATGTAATATTATTATAGTAGTATGTCATATGTGTTGTAAATCATTAACGTGCTGTAATTTCATGATTGGTTTTCACGAGTACTCAATAAACAGAACAGAACAGAACAGAACAGAACAGAACAGAACGCCTGAACGATTTCTATACAAGAATTGCTCAGGTTACTGTTTTACAATTCGTGCTTAGCAACGTCTATATATTATAGCATTCATAGACTTCGAGCACAAAAGTTCCTATTGTTTCCTGTTAATAATGTTAAAAACCTACCTGATATAATCTTCTGCTTTGGGTATGTTTAAGATCAGAGTGTAATAGGACACAGTGAGTGGATTCACTGGATCTAAAGATAGAAGAATACTAAATCTATCATGAATGCATTATGATTGCCAGTCAATTGTTCTACCAAAGGCCGAAAGGAATACGACAATGTCGCTAAAGCATCCCGCAGACGACTGTGCTGCAAAATATTTCCTAACGGTAGAACTATTTTTGTGACACAATATTATTTTACAGTTACACTAATATACTTAGCAATCCAATACAATGAGGGTGGCTAAAAAATGCCTCCACTATGTTTTGTGGTATTTTAACATCAGCTTTGATGGAAGTTCTATATTTTTATACTTGACAAAATAATTATGTTATCGTTTTAATTAATCCATTGATATTTAACTTATCAAAATAACCAACTATTTTCCTTCTAGATTTACTTAAAGTGGCGACACCAATATTTCAACTTGTCCGAAATATAGAAATTAAGTCAAAACGACAAAAGTATTTCAGGCTTTTAAAAGGGGATGTTTAAAGAGAAATCCTACCTGTTTACTAGTCAAGACAAGGTTTGTGCTCTCTAACATTAAAGATTTCGTTTGATATAAAAATGATTTAAAATGAGCCATAAGCTTAGGCAGGAAAATGAAAATGCCCTCAAAGTTCTCGTTTGTGGACGAATACCTGGATAAAGAGTCGTATGATGGTGTAAGACACATGAACAGTATTGAATTTATATGATACAACTTTCAAATTATGAACTTGATCAAAAGTAGTTAATTTGAATTCTTTAACTTGATAAAAATTCCTATTATTTTAGTCTAATTTGCATATTTGGACAAGTTTGAATGCAATGGATTAAAACGATATGATATGATACTTATTTCATCCAGTACAAAAATCTGAAACTTCCACTAAAGTTAACGTTGTAATGTTATCAAATATTGTTGGGGGGGGGGGCATTTTTTTGGGGACACCCTGTATGGTGGTTTGACAACTATTCATATTGACCGAATTACCTCCACTTGTTATTTTACTGACTTCCGAACTTTTCTCCCCATAACCAGCTTTTGTGCTGGCTGAGACCGTCACAAAGTACTTCGTTGAGGGTAGGAGATTATTAAGGGTAAGCGAAAGTACTTTAGCGCTTTTGAACATTAAGCATTCAGAAGCAGTGTCTTTGCTATAAAAACAAACTTGATATCCAGTCAGTTCGCCATCTTGTAAACTTTCATCAGGAGCTTTCCAAGAAACTTCCAGTGAGTTTTTGCCGCGCGAATCTATAGTCACATCCAATGGAGGTCCACTGAGTCCTATAGGATATAACGTTCTATTGGGTAGTTTTTTCCAACAGAGTCAATGTTTCAAACCTCTACCAGTATAAAATGAGTATTGCCGAGTATATGAGTATTATTTCCCCAGACGCCTACCTGCATGTTCTTACAGGTCAACTATACTGTACATGCAGCACTGAATTGTACCCTATATGCACTGCACTACATTTTTCTGTACTATGCATTGTACTGTTTTCTACTGTATTGTACATTACATTATACTGTTCTATGCATTATAATTATACTGTAGAGTGTCGTACAACATACTATATCGAATTGTTTTTGTACGTTATGGTATATGGTATTGTATTGTATTGTATTGTATTGTATTGTATTGTATTGTATTGTATTGTATTGTGTTGTAATTGTACTGTAATTAATAATGAACTGTGAAATTATTGAAACTAATATGGACTTCCCTGTGATCAGAGCCTGATTTCCCCCAGATAAGAAAATATCCGGCTCTGCAGAATCACTTATATTTTTAGAATGCGTGTTATTTAGAAAACCAATCGCATTCCACGTGCTGTCAAATTACAATAATAACAAATTTCCAAACCTATTAATAGATACAGTGTTTTTGAAATCAAACTATTACTATAGTTTTACAAATTACTAGTTTATATTACTTGAATTTCTACAATTCTTATATAGGTCTGGTTTACTTTTCAGTAAGTGAAGCGCGGTTCATATGCATTGTATTTACTTATTATTTCATTTACGGGCCTCTTGAATCGGAAAATAAGAAGTTCCGATGTTAAATTTATCTTAAATGCGGTTTACCTGGAGGTTTTAGCAATGTTTTGACACTGCTACTCCATTCTGTAGAGTAATATGAGTCCTAAAAGGAAACATGAATAAATCTGCAGAACAATTTCATTTTCAGCCAAGCAACATATTAGTATCCTTCAAAATTCCCATGTTAATAATCTAAACACACACGTTCTATATTCTATAAAATTTACCTGGCTTTCGAAAAATCTCAGGAACACGATGTAAGTTGAATTCTGTTTGAGTGGTTGGTTGAGGTAGTTTTTGTTTTCAAAATTATATTGCTTCCCATCACCAATCACGAACGACAGCGGAAGAATATCAGCTTTCAAATAAGCAGTGATATAGGGGGCCTGTGTGTCCGTCTGGTAAGGGTTCAGATCGCTTGTTTTAATATCTTCGACAGGGGTTGGATTTTTCGTAGCAATTTGTACAACCACCATCACGTCTCTAAATAATTAGGAACAGAATGTCAGAAATAGAGTAATCATTGGCCATCTCACTCGATAGAACTAGATGTTGAAGGGTTTCTGTAAATGAAAACCCAACCAGAAGGAGTTTGTCGGTTAACAGTGTCAAATCCAAGTCCGAGTCAAATCCGAGCCCGAGTCAAATGTCCGAGTCACTATTTAGCGGTCTTTGTAGTTCAATGACTTTATAGTACTCTAACCCTAACCATTTTATTTTACTTTATAGTATCCTAACCCTAACCATTAAACATTTTATTCAATTTCGTCTTTATTAACGTGACTCGGACGCTTGGCTCGGCTCGGAATTGACTCGGACTTGACTTGGTAAATTGATTTACTCCAACCAGGAGCAGCTGGGTAAAATGCTACTATAGGCCCCAACTTACCATAGGCAAGAATCGAACCTGTGATTCCGGGGCAGCTAAAAATGTACAGAAATTTGGACATATAGTTGTCGGACAAGTATATCACGAACTCTGACTGTATAGTTATGAATTGAGTAACCACACCTTGCTATTCTAATATATTATCAGGTACTTACTTGAAATACGTCGGTGGTTTGGCTATGGTTACGTTTAGACTTGAATAAGATATCGCGACAGGATTTACAGGTTCTAACGGGAAAATGAAAATAATCTCAGTATTTAAATATATTGAAGGCATTAAAAGTAGGCTATTACATGTTGTTTCGTCAGAATGGCAAACTTGATATCCTACAGTTTACCATTCCAAAACGTTTTCTCAGAAGCGTTCCACGATACGTCTGGCTGGGTTTCACCCCGGTTTTGTGAGTTTCAATAATAATTATAAAATAACGTGTATATAACGCGTGCTCTGATTGGTCGAAACCCGTATTTGGATCAGACCATCCAAACACGGAAATTTAAAGTGAAAGTTTTTTAAAGTGAAAGATTTTAATTAAAGTGAAATTTTAACACGGAAAGTTGTTATTTTATAAAACAATTACTTTATGGTTTCCGTGTTTAGATGGCCTGATCCAAACACGTGGGAATGTTGCTCGAGTTAAGAAAAGCGCGCAAAATCACTCGCCTTAACTTTCGCAACATTCCCGCGTGTTTGGATCAGGCCATCCAAACACGGAAACCATAAAGTATAATGGACCATTCCCCCAATTAACCAAAATTTTGAACTCAACAAGTCTAGACAAAAATTTCATCACAGCTTGAAAGAGCATTACAAAATTAGTAATATTCCAAAGTTTCGTTTTAAAATGTTGCGAAGTTTGCAATTTTCAGTCATTTTAGATTACAAATGGGAAACGGTTACCACTTCTGTGCGTAATCTAAATTAATGACTGAAAATCACAAACTTCGCAAGGCTATATTATCCGCATTTTACAACATTTTGCCACGAAACTTTGGAAATTGGAATATTGCTAATTTTGTGATGCTCTTTCAAGCTGTGATGAAATTTTTGTTTAGGCTATAGTTAAGATCAAAATTTTGGAAAAGTGGTAACCATTTCTCGTTTGTAATCTAAAATGACTGAAAAATTGCAAATTTCTAAGGGCTATATTATCCGCATTTTACAACATTTCGCAACGAAACTTTGGAATATTACTAATTTTGTGATGCTCTTTCATGCTATAATGGAATTCTGTCTAGACTTGTTGAGATCAAAATTTTGGTTAATTGGGGAATGGTCCATTGTATAGCATTGCAGTGCAGCAGATAGTGGTCAACTTGAGAGCTGTTAACTCGGCACTTATAGGAACCAGCAAATTAAATTGTTATATATAGTTAGTGTCAAAGTTCAATTTTTCTGTTTTCTGATTGGACAAAAGCGTATCACGTGTCGGTCCGCAAAACGTCGTGTTTACTGCATTGCCCTGGCGACGAGGCAACCAGTCCATAATAGAACATGTATTGACCGGTCAACAAGAGAATGCGTGAAGTTCCAAAGTTAATTTTATTAAACTTTTTTTATGAAACATTTACGGCGTTCCATTTATCTAGTTTTGGTTTCAAAGTTCACTCCAATAACTGAAGAATTATTCATACTTTCACACCTATATACTATATAACAAAACACTTATTTACTGAGACCCGGGGAAAGCAGTGTGCAAGGCCCTCGACCGAGGCAACAACGGCGGTCTCGGGTCAACAAAGCACACTGTTTCCCTCGGTCTCAGTAAATAAGCGATAACTACATCTTTCAATTCCATTTATTTGCCCCCAAATACAAGAGTGACAACGAAACAAACAAAAAAATAATGTTTTTAACCCATCTTCAATATTCACCTGCTTTAATGGTCGTGAAGTTTCTATCTTCTGCGCTGCTAGTCTGTGAAGAACCATCCTGAGTCTGAATTCGAACAGTATACATAGTGCCCGGTTTAAGACCAGTAATATCGAACTGAGTTCCTCGGGATATAGTCCAGTGTTGGTTGCCGTCGAGATATATTATGATCTGTGTTATATAGCTGGAGGCTGAGGTTTGTAGTTTCCACATCACGCGAGCAAAGTAATGCGATGGTGTAATTTTAATATCGTATACTGGAGCTGGCGTTTGGGCTAAGGATAAAACAGATCAACGTTTATACTGAGCAAGGGAGTTAAACATGCTACTGATATAGATACTGATTCAATGGCTTAATGCTTATAAATATGAATCCCATACTCATTAATAACTCGTATATGGAAAGATTTATTTATCCCTCTCCATAAAACCAGAGCTTTGACGATGTTCTTAGGCCATGGCAAAACCCATGCCATTTAGCAGAGTGTGACTCTTTTAAAATTGGTTGCTCTTTCATGTAGTGGACTATAACATATTACGGAGTATACAATAACACAACTAACATAACACTTGCAGAACTAGTATTGTTCGATGCTGAATTAATATAAACGAGTATGTTTATGACATTCAGTATATATTTCATAATTTCCAGTTTTAAATCCGTCTGACCGTGTAGCTCAGTTGGTAGAGCGTCGATCTAGTAATTCGAAAGTCGCGGGTTCAAGACCCAGTCGCGGCAGACAATATCTTTCTGCTTGCGCTGGGTATGGAAATTATATAATACATGCTCTAGAACATTTTCGTCTTAACATTTTCATCTTTCTAGAACTATAAGATGTCCTCACAATTTGTTCCAATTTTCGTCTTCAACCAACTATGCGCAGTCTTATTTTGGTCTAAAGGGTGAAAACCTTACAGCACTTGAAACATATACTATAAAAAATGGAATGAAAAACCTCGCGCGGGCAAGAGGGCTGCGCAGGGTTGGTTGCAAAGGAGAATGGAGAGAGATGACTGACAGACTCTGTATTCAAGATGGCGCCCGATAAAACAATGGCAGACTTTGACGAAAATCGCTGTCGATGCTAACGTTTTGACACAGGATCTACCGGTTGCTTCTCTTCTTTCCCCTTTCCTTCCTTTCCCGATCGCGTTGTTTTCCTTATCAGCCGCCTATACGTTCATCGCCTGCGATTCCTCTCATTCGCCACACGATTGTTCGTATTCAGATTGTATTTCGCTTGCAGAGAGATTCAAAGCTATACAATAATCTGCCCCTTTATATAAAGAGACGACCAAGGAAGATTCAAATCCAGACATATTCATTAAAGTTGAAATACTACATACGCATTCCATGCATACAGTATTTCAAAAACAACCTGATTATACATCTTTGGAAGTTTGACACTTTTTATGTACTATTTCCAGCACGTTCTTTCCAGCTTTGAAACTGCGATAGAAATTTCAAATTATAGACACTGCTACCATTGTCAACTGGATCAATTGTCATTTTGTTGTCACACATTCAAAAGACGTTGTCCATTTAAGCCGGTTTTGCATTAAGTCGATCCGTTTTCCACTAGGCGGAATTTTCCGCGCGGAGCGGAATTTCTCTTTGTCTTTTCTAATTAAGGCTGTTTTCCACTAGGCGGAATTTTGCGCGCAGAGCGGAATTTTCCTTTGTCTTTTCTAATTATTCCACCCGAGAAATCACAAGACAAAGAAAAATTCCGCTCCGCGCGCAAAATACCGCTTAGCCGGAAAACCTGCTTTAGACAGAGTTTGAAAACAAAACTATAAATTAATAGTTCCTTACCCACTCCACAAAGTTCTATTCTAAGACAAAATTCTTTGTTCACAGTTGATTGTATCTTTATATGTCTTGCATTATAAATATCAATGTTCGTCTTCGATGCTTGGTAGCCGTTCTTATTTCCTGTAATCTAAAAAAAGTAATTCCCAAAAGACGTAAGCCAAATTTTGTAGTTTACAAATAAACCTAATCTCAATCACAGTTTAATGAAAGCATCTCCTTTGGCATTGAAACAGGTACAATTTGTTTCAAACAGAAAAATTTCATTTGGTTTGTGTTAATTGCCACGTTACAAGACTTATAGTGTACTGTCGATCCGAATCGCTTTCAAATACTTTAATTGTAATCGAAATTAAGTTATTCTCAGATGAGGATCTATCATTACAAATACCGGCATTGCACTGCTACCGTCCACCAAACTTTTATTATGGCTGTATTTCATTGAATATGACCCACTCCATTTTGTCTGATCCTCATCACCCATAGTTACAACCCGTGTTATGCGATATTCTTTTCGAAGATCGATCGAAAGATAAGGCGCGGAACCCGAAGCACACCAACCAACAAAAGAAAACCACGCTTTCAGGTATTCTCGAGAACCATTGCCAGAAAATATAGGGTTCGAGTATTGGAGTATCGGATTATCACATATCTTGCCTATGGCAAAGTAATAGAGAACGATTAGTGGTAGCCTACTACTGTAAGGAGCAAATTAAGTCGTATAAATTATACATGAATTAATTATGCATTCACTTTTTTAAGTCCGAAAAAGTGATGACAAACTTTTGTAAATTTTTTAGCATGCAATCCATGCAATTCCCATCCAAATTATTCATTATCCAGACTCACACACCAAATCCGAGGTATCGCATTATTTGTAAAGAGAATATACTCACATGTTGCATATGGGATCTTAACATTTGAAATGGTTGTAGAAGGTTGAAGATGGACACAACAAGATGTTCCATTTGGCTGTGTGTTATAACATATCAAATCCCCAGTTGCAATCTTAGATCCACTCGGGACCTGCCCAGATACAACTTTATTTGCGTCCGTTTCATCAAATCCTAAATGCTGACACAACATTTTCTGTCGATATTTATCCCAATTTTCTTCTTTAACTCTCCTCCAAATAGTACCATTTTTTAGTTCGATGTAACCTCGGTATGGTGAAAACGTCAATCTTATCATGGGTGCTAAAAGAGAACGTTTTGAATGAAAGTGAGCTAACGATGAGCATTACGAAATATAATGTCCAAACAGTTCCAACATAGGTTAACGAAGTCAGGGTGCGATAAATCGCGTACTTAGGCTGGAATTACAGCCTCGTACCCAGGCGCAATTAACTAAAAATAGGCACACTACAGTACTTTTATATAGATTAGTGGCTAAGATGACCCAAGCACCCCCGCGCGCTCGAGCCACTGATCTATATAAAAACACTGTAGT